AAGATCGTGGCCCCATAGGGAGCTCCACCGAAGGCCCCCAGTGGCAGGGTTCGCACGGCGGCCTCGGGCCATTTCGGCACACCCCTCGCGACGATCGTGGACCCATAAGGGAGCTCCACTTAAGGCGCCAGTGGCAGGGTTCGCCTGGCGGCCCCGGGCCATTTCGGCACACCCCTCACGAGGATCGTGGCCCCATAGGGGGCTCCACCGACGGCGCCAGTGGCAGGGTTCGCATGGCGGCCTCGGGCCATTTCGGCACACCCCTCACGAGGATCGTGGCCCCATAGGGAGCTCCACCGACTGCCCCCAGTGGTCGGGTTCGCATGGCGGCCTCGGGCCATTTCGGCACACCCCTCGCGACGATCGTGGACCCATAAGGGAGCTCCACCGAAGGCGCCAGTGGCAGAGTTCGCACGGCGGCCCCGGGCCATTGCGGCACATCCCTCGCGAGGACCGTGGCCCCATAGTTGTGCTGCTTCAACGACCGCGCCTGGGCGTCGTACTCCGCCTTGTCGACGTGCAACGCCACTTCCTCCCTCATGGCTCTCAAGGCCCTTTCCTGCTTCTGCTCCCCGGTGAGAGGGGCGCCGTCCTCGTCGTCGTCAGCGCCCGCGAAGACGGCCGCGAACGCGCCCCTGAGCATGTCCGGCTCCGGCGGGGAGCCGTGGCCACATATGGGGGCGCGGGCGAAGATGGCATTCGCAATTGCGGTATTCACAACTGCATATGATTGGGTCCTTCGCCAGGATATTTTTTTGTTTCAATGGGGGCGTTGGGGCGCGGAAAAAAAGGCGGTGGACATCAGGGCCGCCAAAAGGCGCGTTTCCAAGTATTGCAGACTCTTCGGGAAGCCTCCGGGTTATCGCCTGAGCAGACGAGCCAATGGGAGTTATTCAAGGTCCAATGGGACGCCAAGATGGCAAATACCTATGGTGATGGTTGGGGCCAGTTGTTTGCGGAGGAGGTGCAGAAAGTGGTGGGCGAGTTTGTCGGTGGTCGCAAAGACGCGCTCTTTCTCTCTCTCTCTCTCTCTCTCTCTCTCTCTCTCTCTCTCTCTCTCTGTGTCTCTCTATATTTATATGTATTTTTCTCTTTCTCTCTCTCTCTCTCTCTCTCTCTCTCTCTCTTATAAATATATATTTTTGTTTCTCTCTCTCTCTCTCTCTCTCTTTTTTTTTCTCTCTCTCTCTCTCTCTCTTTCTCTCTCTCTCTCTCTCTCTCTCTCTTTTTTTTTTTTTTTTTTTTTCTCTCTCTCTCTCTCTCTCTCTCTCTCTCTCTCTCTCTCTCTCTCTCTCTCTCTCTCTCATGCACAATGAGACGAGACGAGTGTTAGGAGAGGTGCCCGCCCTGGTGTTGCTGGGGCTTCGGCGCTTTTGATGCGCGCCGCGGTGGCAGCGGAGATGCTCCGCCGCGGCTGCTGCGGCGCGGCGCCTACATCGAGCGGGCAGCTGACTCCGCGGTTTTTCCGCTGCGGAAAAAAAAACAATCCCTTGCGCGCGCCTCCCACCGCGTCCTCATTATCCTCATCGCCGTCTCTTCCCTCCCGACCATTCCTCTCCTCCTCGCCCCCTCGAGATGCTCGCATCCTAATAGAAAGTTGCCGCGAGATGCTCGCATAGGAAGTTTTCTGGATGCCATTAGTAATGCGCGTGCGACGGCGGCGCGCTCCTCCAGCGCAACTCCTTGTCACTCCCCTTCTCCCGTCCCATCCTCGCCCCCCGCCTCCCTGCGCGCCCCGTAGCTTCTCATTGGCCCGAGCCTGCAGCCTTTGCTGTGTGATCATGGCCGGCTTGCCCTTAATTGTGCTCCATGGTAATGGAGCGCGCGATGTGAACGCGGAGTCTGACCACGTGAGCTGGCCGACTTTTGCGCCCGCCGACGCGCCGGGCCCGCCGGGGGATCCGCGCCTGCCGCCCGATTTGGCCGAAGACTACGACGAAGACTGAGTATTCATTCTGAAGCCTGTTTGGAATGACGACGCAGAGTGCGACGTGGGCTCGTGGGAGGAACAGCGCCAGGGTAGTGGCGGCCCTGACCAGGAAGAGCGTCCTGGCAGCAACGCAATGGGCCGATTTGGTATCATGGCTGCCAACTGGGGTGGCAAGTGGCGAGAGGCGGGAATGCATGCTCATGAATCGTGACCTCAAAAGTTCCGCGTGCCAGTTCCTCGTCATTCGGGAAGCGGCCCAAGACTTGCTAGGGTTTACGAAGCAAGATCCTGGCATGGACGAGGCCGACAGCCCCGCGGTAACGGGGCATCGGCCCCTACGACGCTTCATAGGAGCTGCAGGCATTGATCGGGGAAGCACCACAATGATCTTCGCTAGGCCGTCCCACGTGAAAGGGATGCGGACTCTAGTGTTCCACCGGGCCAGAGATGGAACATGCTCGATCACCCAGAAGAGTAGAGCTGGGACGCGGGTCGCGAATATTTCCGTCAGCAGGGTACTGATAGCATCAGCCAAGATGAGGTTTTGGCAGATTCGCGGTAGCGGGGAGGATCGCGCCGACGACCAGGCCGCAGACGAGTTCCGTTTGGCGAACGTGTACCTCAATTACAGGACGGCGCTGCGCGACCTCCAGGGTGGTGGAGTGGCATGCAGCAGATTTCGTGATCTGCTAGCGCGATACTTGGCAGAACTTCGACCTGCGATCCTTTGCGGCGACTTCAACATGGCGCTCTTCTGCGTGGTGCCGGAACTGCGGGCGCGCGGCCTCCAGGTCAATCCGGCGGCGTGGCACTGCTGGGAACAGGAGCACGAACGCAAGGTCCGAGTGGAATCGCGCGGCATCTTTCGCCGGGGGCCGCGCTCAGGAGTTCGGCTGTGCTACGGCATCTCTGCGTTTGGGATGGACGGCCCCGACTTGCCTGGGAACTGCCCCATGGAAACGGAGACTTTGCGCGACGCGCGCAATAAAGAAGCGCGCCAGCGCCCCCGCCCCATCACAAACATCCCCTTTTCTGGGGCAAGGCTTCCCCCTCAACAGCTACCGCCCTAAAGTCCCAGCGCGAAGGGATCAGTGCGCGAGGTGGGCGGTCACGTCTGTCTTCGATGCATCTTCAGCCGCGGTAGCGGAGGTGTTGCGAAGCGCCTCCACCGACAGTGGCATGTTCCCGTATAGAGTGGGCCCTTGTCGAAGCAGAAGCCTGCAGACTTCGATGAGTTCGATCCCCAACGAGAGTTTTCAAACGCGGTGCACATTTGCCCTGGATGATCTTCGTGGGCGCGGCCAGAGAGATGCCTAGGCGCGGCAGGCGCGGCGAAATTGCCGCGCCGATTTGCGCGGCTGGGACTGGGAAAGGCGACGCGCCATGGCCATCAGAACGGGCGCCGCATCTGCCGAGGGTGGGGGGCGTGAGCGCCACAGAGGCGAAGGCGCCCGCAGCCGCGGTTGCGGCGAGCAATGGAACCGGAGCGGCCAGGGTTGGACGGGGGCGGGCGGAGATTCTCAATGACATGGCCAGTATGGAACATGGAGCGGCGCTGATGGAACGCGGCAGGGCTGGCAGGGCTGGCAGGATTGGAATTGGCAAGGGTGGCAATATTGGTCGTGACTGCTGCGCTTTCGGAGGCCGTGGTAACGGTCTTCTTGCTCGCGATGGGGGAACATCCTACCGTCGCGAGCCCTGCGATCAATAAGCGCTGCGCTTGCTGAAAGAAAGAGACAGGGGGGGCAGAGGAGAAATGAAGACAAATAGTAACAGAAAGTAACAGAGAAGTAGGAGAGAGGGGAAGGGGGGAGCGACATGCGGGCGCAGGTGCCCGCATGCCTTGGGGGATGCGTAGCGACATGCGGGCGCAGATGCCCGCGTGCCGCGCGACATGCGGGCGCCTGCGCCCGCGTGCCGCTACCGCCGTCTATTCTCCAACCGCCGTCTATTTGCGAACGCAGATTACCGCGACGCCATCAGACAGCTGCCCGAGAACGCCAAGCAGGCCCAGAGAGGGCCACGCGCGAACTCACACCTGCATCCCGCGATTTCTGAGGGGGGAGGTAGGTTTCGCTTTGCTCGGGAGCTGCCGAACGAAGTGAACCCCGCCCTCCTCCCCAGAAATCGCGAGCGGGGCTCGCATGTGGCTTCCCAAGGCCGCCGCGAGGGTCCTCCGCAAGCTCGGCGCCGTTGGCCCTAGCGAGAGCTTCCCTGCACCGAGCAATACAACGAGTGGATCAACCAATTCAAGGCGGCCAGCGACAACGACTTGGCCATGGCCAAGGTCAAGCGCAAGTCCAAGCTCTGCAAGGACCCCACGGCGGCCGAGCCGAAATTTGCCACCTTCGAGGAGGCATGCGCTGCCGCCCAAGCGCGCGCCAAGTGCCTCCCTTGCAATGGCGGCTCCAAAGGGCGCCGCGCCTGCATAGGGGAGCGGTTCGAAGTCCTGCGCAAGAGAGGCTTCTTGGCCAGAGCGGCCAAAGGACCTCTCTTGCGCTGGTAAGTTGCAGGCGCGAGCCTCGATCTCTCGAGTCAGTATTGCGCCGAGCGCCTGCTGGCAAGTTGTAGCCGCGAGCGTCGGGATCTCTCGAGTCATGCGTGTGCCGAGCGCCCAGGATCACCATCATCATGATCATCGTCATCATCATCTTCAATTTTTCTCTGGGAACATCGCTGGTTATCCCCGCCAGACCCCCGAATTTTATTATATCCCAGGTGTTGCTATCGCCCGCGCAGGGTTTGGGTGGCGCGGTAGGTCCGCGTTGTGTCCCAGCGGCGACCCGGCCAGGCATTCAAAGTATTGCTGAGAGAGGTTCAGAATCGGCCAATATGACAAACCAGCCGGTTGGAACGACCGCCGATTTTTCAGGGCTGAACGATCCTCGCTGAGTCAGATACCAGCGCCGGGAATCAGTGCCACGCGGGTCGGGCGACCCCAGCTCCGTGCTGTTCTGGCATATTTGACAGGTTTTCTGCTGAAGCATCGAGCCCGTAGCTACCTCACACGCGCAGTTTGAACGCACCCTCCCGAGCAGGCGGCGAACTCTGCCCCCCCCCCCCGCGGCAGGTCTCTTGCTCCCTCTCGTGCTCGTGGAGTCCATCAGCGGCGTCCAGCGCTCCCAGTCGACGCTGGAGGCCTCCCGCGCCCGGGCCCCCCGCCGCCGCGTGGTGTTCGGTGCCGCCGCCGCGTCGCAGCCGCCGCCGCCGTCGGCTACCTCGCATTCGGCTGCGTTCGTGAGGTCTTGTTCGGTCGGGTGCTGAACCGTTGCGTCCCGCCATACTGTATAGGCTGCGCTCGGTGCGTCGGCGTCGCTCGGCTTCGGTGCCGCTGCCGGTTCTCGGCGCGGTCTCTTGCTGGTGCTGCTGTCGCCGTGGGCGCCTGTTCGCGGGCGTTCGAGAGCGCGGATGCCGGAGAAAGTTTGGGCAGAGTGCAAGCCATAGGGAGTTGCAGTACAGCGGACACCCATGTCAAGAAACACCCTGCTCGCCTCCAGGGTGCCCTTGGTTTCTAAGACTTCGATGGTTTGGCTATGGAACCCGTTTCGTCCCGACATGAAACGTCAATGCATGTCCTGGGGTTTCATGGTTGAGTTTCGTGTGGAAGGTTTATTGTGGTCGAGTTCCTACTGTAATTGAGCTGTGATCTCTTCTGAGGGAGTCCCGACGGCGCCCCGACCGTTTCCTGACAGTTCACTGGCTTTGGTCGCCCGCCGGATTCCGACCCCCGATGTTTGGGGGCGAGCAACAGATGGGTGATGACTAGGGTTAAGTCGGGCATGTCCTTCAACAGGAGGAAGATTCAAAAACATAGCAAAAATAATATTTGGAGGATTTTTGTATTGTTTGAATATGTTGTTTGAGCATGTTTCGACTATTTGTTGTTTTTCTTCCAAAAGGCGCCAGTAGGAGGACGTGCCCGACCGAAGACTGGTGGGGGGGGGAATCGTGGCGGGGCCATGGCATCTCCCTGGCCCCTCCTGGACCGCTCGTGTGGCTCGGGCCATGATTTGCGAGCCCCCCTCTCAAGGGTGCACCAGTGCGTTTTACGTCGCAGCGTGACAGAGGCAATGCGCACGCGCGCTCTAGTGATCGGCGGCGAGCGAGGGGGTGGAATGAGAAGGAGAGGCCCTTCTCAAGGTTCGGAAGTCCCCCGGCCTTCTGAGAAGTTCTCAAAGCCGTCCTCGAATACCAACAAAACATTTCTCAGAAGGCGCGAGGGCTGATGAGAAGTTCTGCCGCCTTCTGAGAAGACCTTCCCCTTCTCACTTCCCCCCTCGCTCGCCGCCGAAGTGCGCCAGGCTATGGCAGACCCCCTCAATGATACCCCACTAGTGGTCGCCACCGAATTTTGACGTGCTTCGGTTTATCCTGGTCAGCTGCGCGGGGGTAGTCTGAGCTATTTGTTTCCAAGGCCTTCTTGACTGTCCAGATTTTGTGTGCGGCGGGATGTGAGGGCATCGGGGATCCCCGACAGCGGAGAGGCTCGCGCGGTGGCAGGAAACCATAGCATGCCGCGTGCATCCATAGTTTCGTCATTTGAGTTACGGTCGAAAGCGGGGTCGATTGCACGGACCTTCGCGCGTAAATTTCCCGCGTAAGTTCGCGCACAAGCAACCTCTGCACCACGCGGTGTGCCACGCTGGCTTCCCGCGTGAGACCCGTATCTTCTCGTCGTTCATCTGCAACATTTGCTGCATGCCTGGTCACCGCTGGGTGGCATTCGCCGAAAGGTCATCGCCGTGTGGGCCCTCTAGAGTCGCGAGGCGCAGCCGGACTTCCACGTGCATCACATATTGTGTCCCGCCCTCTCCCCCCGCTCGCACACGCGCCTCGGGGCGCATGTCTCAGCCTTGGAGGGCGGGGCGAGGCCCTCGCAGCGCTACGAGGACATCTCGTCGCATGTCCGCTCCCGCGGACCTGCCAGCGTCAGCCGTGGAGAGGTTGGCGGGGAGGGTCGGGGCACACGAGGGCCCGCCTCGCGGTACCTGGCGATCCTGACCTGCCAAGGGGGAGGCGAAGGACGCGTTCCTCTCGCGAGGGGGGCGTGGTCCTTTGGGTAACTATTGGGGCTGGACAGAACCCCCAACAGTGACACGTCGATTAGTGAATTGTCCGTTTTCGGTTCTCGAGAGGGCGCCGTGGCCGTTATTTTCCAGGCTTGCGCCCGCCAGGTTTGGGTCTCAGGTCGTTTTCACTAAACCACGTTTGACTAAAGGGGGGTCTGTCCATCCCCGGCAAGGGGGGAGGCGAACGACGCGTTCCTCTCGCGAGGCGGGCGTGGTCCTCTGAGTAACTACCCTCCCCACGAGGCATGCCGCTCCAGAGAGGAGGCAGAACAGAGCGCAACAAACACGTCGACGGCAACCCAAACCTCCTCGATCCCTGAGTCTCGATCCTCCGCCTCCTGAGGAGGGGACGCATCCAGGACCGCCGCCTGTGGCCTGGAGGATCGACCTTGGGGCGGGCATGGATATGTTCGGGCTCCACGGGGTTCAGATCTGTCCACATCCACGGCCCGCTGGGCTCCCAGGACGTCGGTTCCACAGGCGGTGGATGGGACAAGACATCCCCGCCTCGCAGCATCCTCCCGAGGAGGAGGAGGAGCAGGAGGCTCCACGCCGTGCGCCACGGCGCCGCCTGCGCCGCGCGCCGCGCCCGCTCTGAGCTTCTGTGATGGACTCTGGATGGCCTTTTTGCCCATCCTTGATCCTCCGGAGGAGAAGGAGGGCCCGTGCTCGAGGGTTGAGGACCCAGGAGGAAGCTTCTCCTCCTCCTCCTCCTCCTCCTCCTCCTTTTCCTCCTCCTCCTCCTCCTCCTCCTCCTCCTCCTCCTCCTCCTCCTCCTCCTCATCATCATCATCATCATCATCATCATCATCATCCCTCGTCCTCCTCGTCCTCCTCCTCCTCGCCCAGGTGATCTCGGACATGCTGCGCTGGGGGTACTACCCGCCAGGAGTCCCCGGCGCTTCCCTGGGCGAAGGAAGGGGAGGAGCGGCGGCGGCAGCAATTCGCCGCGCGTCGTCCTCGCTGTTGCGTCGTCATCGCCCGTTGATGTCGCCGACGTCGTCGACCGACGAAGCGGCAGTGCGGTGTGGTGTCAGCGCGGCAGGGCAGCAGACGGCCCGCAGGCAGTGCTCCGTGCAGCGCATTCGGAGGCGGGGCAGGGAGGGGAGACGAGGAGGCGAGGAGGGAAGTCACCACCCACAAAACCACCCCAACCCAACCCGAAGGCTCAGATTGACTTTCGATTTCCGGGAAAAATAGAAAAAAACACCTGTGGAACCCTTACCCCCCCAACCCGAAATTCGGGTCTTCGGGTTGGGTTGGGGTGGTCTGGTAGGTAGTCAGGAAGAGGACGAGAGGGGAGGATGTCCCCCCCCTCCCCCCGGGGAAGGCGGCGCGATCCTCCGAGCCCACCTGCGCGGACCCCATGTGCTCCCTAACCCCACCTTGGAGCACCCCCCCCCCCCTGCTCAGAAGTATACCAGCCGCCGCTCTTGGTGTCCCCGCGGCGCTTGGAGGCGAGGGGGTTGGGCGCGAATCAATGGGGGGGGCGACAGATTTGGGGGGAAAAAGGTGCCCTCTTCGGAGCCCAGAGGGCCACCTCGTGGGCCCGGGAGGGCCCTTTTGGGCAAAAAACTATTCTTTTCTGCAGCCCTCGCTGCCCCCCCCTTTCTATGGCCCGCCCCCCCTCGCTGCAGCCCCCTGCAGCCCGCGCAGCCCTCGCTGCCCCCCCTCTTTCTATGGCCCCCCTGTCTGCAGCCCTCGCTGCCCTCCCCCTCGCGGTCAAAGGGGGGGGGGGGGCAGCGAGGAGGATCGGAGGATGGCCTTGGTCGAGGCAGCGGGGGGGCCCTCCCAGCGCTTCCCCGGGGGGCTCCTCGCCGCCACGGCCCCGGGTGCGCCTCGAAGAGTGGGCCCACCCGCACCGCAAGGATGCGCAGCTTTCCCAGGTTCCCCCGTGCCACGGGGCCCGCAAATGCGCGAATGCGACGCGCGCTCGATTTCTGGCCTGCGGGTCTCGCGAGCAGGCCCGTGGACGGTATGCAAGGGGCAAAGTTGCAGAAAAACACAGGAACAAGTAAAACTTGTTGTGGGGCGCTTGAACACAGCCAAGGTGGCAGGTTTCCCCTTCTTGGGAGCGGCCCGGAAGGGGGTGATGACTGGGGGGGGAATCTCCTGGCTGGGTCAGGGGGAGAATCCCCCCCTGCGTTTTCAAGGATTTCCCTCTCTGGGAGGCGGAGCGCGCCGTTTGCTTGCTGCTGGTATCGGCGCGGTATATCCGCTGTGCTTTCCCTCGGCGCTGCCTCCTCTCTCCTCTCTCTCTCTCTATCCCTCTCTCTCCGCCGTCCTCCGCCGAAACCTCAGCCTAAGCCTCAGCCCAGCCTAGCTTATGACCGAGCCAAAACTAGCATCAGCCGGCCATGATTTGCCCCCCCCCGTCTTGGACGCCCCCCTCCTGGACGCCCCCGACCTTCAGCCCATCCCTGGCCGCTCTCGCTGACCGCGCCCCGCTGGCGGAGCGTCGACGTGGCCTTCCAAGGCCCGTGCATCCTTGTCAAGCTGGGCATGTCCCTCTACAGCAGGAGCATTCAACAATAGTCAAAACATAGTTTGGAGACAAGTTTTCGATTATTGTTGCGCATGTTCTGTTTACTGTTCGCTTTTCCTCCGAAATCCTTCCGTGGAGGGACCAGGAGGAGGAGGCTAGACTCGACCTAAGAAGGTCTTGCACGATGAATTCACGACGGGACCCCTCAGAGTCCATCCTTAGCGTAGGCCGAACCTGGGTTTAACCCCAGGCTCGGCCCACGCCGACCTTGGCCCACGAAGTCCGCCTCCACGTCGAAGGCGGCGTCCGTGCGCTCTCAGCGCCCGAGCTCCATCGCGAAGGAGGCGAAGAGCTGGGCGCAGTCGCGGGCGCGGGCGGCCGCAGCGGCCTGGGGACCGCCAGGCAGAGGCCCGCCGCCCCCGCCGTCGGCGGCCTCCAGCTCCACGCCCGCGAGGACGACCTCGGGGTAGACGAACCTGTCCGCCCAAGGGCCAGGAGGGCGGCGGTCACGGCCATCCGAGAGGCCGCAGCCTTTCACCGCCATCTTGGTCTTATCCACTTGTCTTGGCACCGCCGCTTGCAGCATGGGGGGGGGCGCAACCCTCCACGGCCGCGGCGTCCCTCAGGCTCTGGCCTTCCTGCTCGGGGGGCGGCGCCGAGCACGCGAGGGGCGTGATGGGGACCTCGAAGATCCGCTCGCCCTCCACGTTGTACATGGGCTCTCGTGGCGTCCCCGTGCATCGCGGAAAGCCGCAGGGTGGGCCGCCGAAGTCCGAGAAGACCGCCGCTCCACATGTACAGCGCATGCCCAGCGGCTCACAGCTTCCCGCAGGGACGAATACTGCAGCCTCCGCCCGTAGCCCGCCACCATCGGTTGGGGCTGCCGCCTCGCCGCCTGCCGAGGGCGGCCGCCGCTGCCGTGGGCTGGCCCCCTCCAGCGCCGCGGGTCCCAAGCGAGGGCCGCGCTGCGCAGTTCGCAGGGTACGCAAGTCCGCCGTCGCCAACGACTCTACCCCCTGCGCGGCGGCATGGAGGGCCACGTTTCGGCGGAGCCTGTCCAGCCATGCAGGCTCCACTCCGCGAACCATCGCGGAGAGCGCTGGCAGAAGAGCCCGAACTCGATCAGCGACACCAGCATCACCGACCAACATGTCGAAGGCCTTCTCCAGCTCCTGCACGCGCGCCATTGCCGCCGCCAGGCCGGAGTCTGCCGCAGCCACCGCGCGCCGCCGCGCAGCCGTGCGCTCGGCCCGCGAGCGCCTCTTCACAAAGGGATCGCCCTCCAGTGGCGACCCCGCCCGCGCCATCTTCTCAAGCAGCTGCACCCTGGCCGGCCATGAGCGGAGGCAAATGGCGACCAGGGGGCTTGAGACCGGCTTGAGCCAAAATGGCTACGGACCAGGAGGAGGAGGAGGAGGAGGAGGAGGAGGAGGAGGAGGAGGAGGAGGGACCAGGAGGAGGAGGAGGAGGAGGGGGAGGAGGAGGAGGAAGAGGACGCCTGACGGTCTGGGGCTTAGACATACACGTGAAGGCAGAGGTGATCCCCCACTCTCGGCCTCCCGGGGCCGACGCTTAGCCCCGGGAGCCTCCAAGCACCGCTCAGACATCTGGCCATGGGGGAAGGTTCGGCCTTCAGGGACCCAGCAGTGGAAATCTCAGGCCCTGGATTAGGGGAACACACAGTGACAAACATAACAACTCGGAGGTCCGCGCGAATTTCTCGGATCGGCGCTGGGGCCCCCTGGCGGCGCCTCCGTCGCCGCCCCTGGCGCGCTCCGCGCGCCAGGGAGGGGGATCCAGTGCCTATCCGAGAAATCCGCGCGGACATCCTAGTTTTTATGTTTGTGCCACTTTTTGCTCCCCTGTGGAAGTCTCCGCACAGATGTGCACTGTCTGCTCTTGCGCCGCTGGCGACCTCCTGGGGGGAGGATGAGAGGGGGCGTCCGTGGGGGGTTCTGGTGACCAGCGGGGCACCCCCCAGAGCAGCGCGGAGACTTCTGGGCACCCGAGCCCGCTCGAAGGAGACGGAGATGTGACCCGCTTGGGCGCTGCCTGGGCCCGAGCTGGCAGGGGCCGCATCGTCGGTTCCGTGGGAGAGGCCGGCGGCTCGGGCAACGGGGTCCGAGTGCGACGTGCATCCGCTATGTGGTCGCTCATCGGAAGTTGGAACGTGTACATTACCAGTGGCGGGCTGTTTCTTGAATCCTGATCCACTCTCCCTCTGGGACTTCGCCCCCTGCTCCAGTCCATGGCGTACCTTGTCCTGTGCAAGATCTTCGGCACCGCCTTTCCTCAGCACTCTCCGGCCGCCTGAGGCCCCGCCCGCCCGCGCCCTGTCTCCCCAATTAGGGCTTCGCGCGCCCCGCCTAGCTCTTGACCGGAAGGGGCCCGCTCCCGACCCGCCGACCAAAAATTGTTTCTTGAATCCTAAGACTTTTCGAGGGTCGGGGACAACGCTGAGCCAGTGTGGTGTATACATGTTTCCCCGACGACCCGGGAAAACAGCGAAACATGTGTGCACCAGGATCCCGTATACCCAAGAATCCGCGTTCCTGTGCGAATTTCAGCGCAGGGTTGGGAAAAGCGTCGGTGTATAGAGTTCGTTCCCTTACCTCAGTAGGGAGAGAACACCGACACAATTGATCGCCGGTTCCCCCGAATGAAAAAGAAAATATTGGAAGTGGGGGGAGGACATGCGGGGACTCCTGTCATTTGTGTCTTCTTATTTGTGTGTCCCAGGGCCCCTTCGGTCACCAGGAAGACGGAGAGAGCATGCAGAGGGCGACAAGCCCCTAAGGGCACACAGTAAGCACAGCGCGTGCTGAGGCGCAGGCCCGG